CTGGCTAGGGTTCGAGTCTCCTGGTGGGAAAGTGTTCTAAAGTTGTATACTTAACTCTCGTGTTTAGGAGAGTTGTGCCTTAAGCATAGACACTGTGACTTCCCATATTAACAGGGACTTGATGAAATTAACGTCTAAATGACCCCTCACTTGCTCTAGTGCTCTTGGGAGGTGGTGATCTTTGGTGTATTTAAATACTCCGAAATTACCATCTCTTTTAAGGGTCTGAGCGGGTGGTGGAGCGGGTTAAGGCGTACCTGTTATGCCAGTTGCTGGAAGGCTGGCTAGGGTTCGAGTCTCCTGGTGGGAAAGTGTTCTAAAGTTGTATACTTAACTCTCGTGTTTAGGAGAGTTGTGCCTTAAGCATAGACACTGTGTCTTCCCATATTAACAGGGACTTGATGAAATTAACGTCTAAATGACCCCTCACTTGCTCTAGTGCTCTTGGGAGGTGGTGATCTTTGGTGTATTTAAATACTCCGAAATTACCATCTCTTTTAAGGGTCTGAGCGGGTGGTGGAGCGGGTTAAGGCGTACCTGTTATGCCAGTTGCTGGAAGGCTTCTGTGCTGGCTAGGGTTCGAGTCTCCTGGTGGGAAAGTGTTCTAAAGTTATATACTTAACTCTCGTGTTTAGGAGAGTTGTGCCTTAAGCATAGACACTGTGACTTCCCTTATTAACAGGGACTTGATGAAATTAACGTCTAAATGACCCCTCACTTGCTCTAGTGCTCTTGGGAGGTCGTGATCTTTGGTGTATTTAAATACTCCGAAATTACCATCTCTTTTAAGGGTCTGAGCGGGTCGTGGAGCGGGTTAAGGCGTACCTGTTATGCCAGTTGCTGGAAGGCTTCTGTGCTGGCTAGGGTTCGAGTCTCCTGGTGGGAAAGTGTTCTAAAGTTGTATACTTAACTCTCGTGTTTAGGAGAGTTGTGCCTTAAGCATAGACACTGTGTCTTCCCATATTAACAGGGACTTGATGAAATTAACGTCTAAATGACCCCTCACTTGCTCTAGTGCTCTTGGGAGGTGGTGATCTTTGGTGTATTTAAATACTCCGAAATTACCATCTCTTTTAAGGGTCTGAGCGGGTTAAGGCGTACCTGTTATGCCAGTTGCTGGAAGGCTTCTGTGCTGGCTAGGGTTCGAGTCTCCTGGTGGGAAAGTGTTCTAAAGTTGTATACTTAACTCTCGTGTTTAGGAGAGTTGTGCCTTAAGCATAGACACTGTGTCTTCCCATATTAACAGGGACTTGATGAAATTAACGTCTAAATGACCCCTCACTTGCTCTAGTGCTCTTGGGAGGTGGTGATCTTTGGTGTATTTAAATACTCCGAAATTACCATCTCTTTTAAGGGTCTGAGCGGGTTAAGGCGTACCTGTTATGCCAGTTGCTGGAAGGCTTCTGTGCTGGCTAGGGTTCGAGTCTCCTGGTGGGAAAGTGTTCTAAAGTTGTATACTTAACTCTTGTGTTTAGGAGAGTTGTGCCTTAAGCATAGACACTGTGTCTTCCCATATTAACAGGGACTTGATGAAATTAACGTCTAAATGACCCCTCACTTGCTCTAGTGCTCTTGAGAGGTGGTGATCTTTGGTGTATTTAAATACTCCGAAATTACCATCTCTTTTAAGGGTCTGAGCGGGTGGTGGAGCGGGTTAAGGCGTACCTGTTATGCCAGTTGCTGGAAGGCTCTGTGCTGGCTAGGGTTCGAGTCTCCTGCTGGGAAAGTGTTCTAAAGTTGTATACTTAACTCTCGTGTTTAGGAGAGTTGTGCCTTAAGCATAGACACTGTGTCTTCCCATATTAACAGGGACTTGATGAAATTAACGTCTAAATGACCCCTCACTTGCTCTAGTGCTCTTGGGAGGTGGTGATCTTTGGTGTATTTAAATACTCCGAAATTACCATCTCTTTTAAGGGTCTGAGCGGGTGGTGGAGCGGGTTAAGGCGTACCTGTTATGCCAGTTGCTGGAAGGCTTCTGTGCTGGCTAGGGTTCGAGTCTCCTGGTGGGAAAGTTTTCTAAAGTTGTATACTTAACTCTCGTGTTTAGGAGAGTTGTGCCTTAAGCATAGACACTGTGTCTTCCCATATTAACAGGGACTTGATGAAATTAACGTCTAAATGACCCCTCACTTGCTCTAGTGCTCTTGGGAGGTGGTGATCTTTGGTGTATTTAAATACTCCGAAATTACCATCTCTTTTAAGGGTCTGAGCGGGTGGTGGAGCGGGTTAAGGCGTACCTGTTATGCCAGTTGCTGGAAGGCTTCTGTGCTGGCTAGGGTTCGAGTCTCCTGGTGGGAAAGTGTTCTAAAGTTGTATACTTAACTCTCGTGTTTAGGAGAGTTGTGCCTTAAGCATAGACACTGTGTCTTCCCATAATAACAGGGACTTGATGAAACTAACGTCTAAATGACCCCTCACTTGCTCTAGTGCTCTTGGGAGGTGGTGATCTTTGGTGTATTTAAATACTCCGAAATTACCATCTCTTTTAAGGGTCTGAGCGGGTGGTGGAGCGGGTTAAGGCGTACCTGTTATGCCAGTTGCTGGAAGGCTTCTGTGCTGGCTAGGGTTCGAGTCTCCTGGTGGGAAAGTGTTCTAAAGTTGTATACTTAACTCTCGTGTTTAGGAGAGTTGTGCCTTAAGCATAGACACTGTGTCTTCCCATATTAACAGGGACTTGATGAAATTAACGTCTAAATGACCCCTCACTTGCTCTAGTGCTCTTGGGAGGTGGTGATCTTTGGTGTATTTAAATACTCCGAAATTACCATCTCCTTTAAGGGTCTGAGCGGGTGGTGGAGCGGGTTAAGGCGTACCTGTTATGCCAGTTGCTGGAAGGCTTCTGTGCTGGCTAGGGTTCGAGTCTCCTGGTGGGAAAGTGTTCTAAAGTTGTATACTTAACTCTCGTGTTTAGGAGAGTTGTGCCTTAAGCATAGACACTGTGTCTTCCCATATTAACAGGGACTTGATGAAATTAACGTCTAAATGACCCCTCACTTGCTCTAGTGCTCTTGGGAGGTGGTGATCTTTGGTGTATTTAAATACTCCGAAATTACCATCTCTTTTAAGGGTCTGAGCGGGTGGTGGAGCGGGTTAAGGCGTACCTGTTATGCCAGTTGCTGGAAGGCTTCTGTGCTGGCTAGGGTTCGAGTCTCCTGGTGGGAAAGTGTTCTAAAGTTATATATATATATATATATATATATATATATATATATATATATATATATATATATATATATATATATATATATATATATATATATATATATATATATATATATATATATATATATATATATATATATATATATATATATATATATATATATATATATATATATATATATATATATATATATATATATATATATATATATATATATATATATATATATAAGAGTACCAATTATTGGTGTTAGGCTGTGTGCCCAGTATTATCTTATTATTATTGATAATGATGAATTGATCGATATATATATATGTGCTGGAGTGTTGAATAACATTTTTATGTGTACAGTGATTATCTGTGTTATTGCCTTCGAAAGAAATTACTGAGTCTAAGGCCAATACCGTGATTTAAATGCATTTATTATCATTAGTATGATCTGCCGTGTATAACGCCTTTACAGTGAGATATTGTGTTTATTGCTGTAGAAACGATTTATTGAGCTTGAGACCTGTGAAGTGACTCATTGTGTTCTATTGTCATTATAGCAAATATTGTGTTGATTGCAAATATAGTGACTACTGGGAATTTAAAGAAACACGCACTTAGCGCCAGTAAACAAGTACAGAAGCATTCTCACAGTGAGGGGGGCCGATCAGCTGATATTGACAGAAGGGGGAGTATTGCCCTCTTGATGAGTACCAGTTTTATGAAGAGAGAGTGATTTACCGCCACGTACTAGTTGCTTCGTTGTTGATATACTACCTTGTGTGTTTCAAGTAAAATACAAAACTACCTTCGCGTTTGTATGGCGAACAGTGGCACCGCGAGGATTGAGTGAAGACCTGCAGGGCTACGGTGAGTAACAGTCATTGCTAATACTACTGGGTGGTGTCTATGTAGAGAGACACCCCGACATTGGCGACCGTTGACAGGATAATAAGCACGATCATCTATACTTATAACTAAGGTAAACCCCGACATTGGCGATCTTGCCAGGATTTCGGGATTAAGTTTTTGTACACCGTTTACTCACTTACGACGTTATCTTGAGGTTATCTTGAGATGATTTCGGGGCTTTAGTGTCCCCGCGGCCCGGTCCTCGACCAGGCCTCCACCCCCCAGGAAGCAGCCCGTGACAGCTGACTAACTCCCAGGTACCTATTTACTGCTAGGTAACAGGGGCATTCAGGGTGAAAGAAACTTTGCCCATTTGTTTCTGGGCAAAACATATATTGGCATTCCCCGACAATATATATATATATATATATATATATATATATATATATATATATATATATATATATATATATATTATATTTATAAACATATACATATAGCTTAATGAAATATGGGGTTCAGTTCTTGAACCCATTATGTGCCTCTGTTGCTCTTTCCACGACTGCCCACTGGATGGGTATGGAGTGCATAATATATAAATAAATGAATCACAGATACGCTTAGGATGTAGCTCTTCATCGATAATCGTTTTGCTACCACTGTAGGTGAGGGAGGGGGGAGGGGGGTGATCCCCTCACCTGCTGGGAGGAGTGAAGGGTTCACCTCAAGGCAGGTACCTGCATCTCCCTATCTCACTGGTCCCTTCCGAAACTACTACAAAAAATCCTATAAAAAAACACTATTTCTGCTATGTTGCTTATACTTTTTTTTAGGTTTGAGTCAGTTTGCCCGTTATACATGCTCTGTTGTATACATTTCCTCTGCAATATTACCTGTTTACCCATTCTAAATTACTACAAATAAACGCTGGAGCTCCCCAGCCCTCAACCCCTCCACTGGTCGGTTCAAACATTGAGTATTATCTCTCCTACAGAGTGGAGGTGGAGTGTTCTCCGTCACAGCCCTGCGAGAAGACGACAAGGCCCCATACTACATGAAACTCTTCCGGAAGGTCCTCAGCAAAGCCATCGTCAAGGTGGCCAGCAACACCTACAAGCGCCACCTCACACCAACTCCACTGAATTAAAAACATTTCTCAGCTCATTACTGTAGCAAATGTGACGTGCTGCCTTTAGTACAGCTTTTTTTCAGTCTCAAGCTATTACTGGCATTATATAAGATGTAAGACTCTTGATTTGCTGGATAAGGTTTTGCTAGATTGTGTTGAAGGGTAAGGATGAGTCTCAACACTGAAAAGAATGGTGTTCCTGGATACGGATTAGTTTCAGCCGGGATCAAGCGTAGAGAGAGTCCTGATCTCATATCCCAAATGAATTCTTTACTGTAATACTTCATATTGTGAAGTAAATATCCACTTATAATTAGTAATGGTAAATGAATTAAGCTTAATTCTTGAGACGGGGATCCGAGTCCCAGAAAATATTAGCACTCAATTATTGAGTTTTGAACATGTTGCAAATAATTTAATAATATATTATTTTTAAAGAGCTGACAACGATGGAGAGAAGCACCGAGATGAGAATGCACTTGACTGGTAGATAGTGTTTCGCCTGTACAGCCTTCTACATCTACAGTCTATTAACATGTTAGTGTTTTACTTCATGAAAATATATTAAATTTTGCAGTTATTGCAAGAGTGAGAGGATAACATTATTGGTTCTTCTGACTTGCCTAATATCATAAATAGAACTTAACATTGGAATATTTTAATCGTAGGGATAATGTATGATAATTTCTGCAGAGCTATGGTTAAGTATTAAATTCTAATATATATATATATATATATATATATATATATATATATATATATATATATATATATATATATATATATATATATATATATGTCGTACCTAGTAGCCAGAACATACTTCTCGGCCTACTATGCAAGGCCCGATTTGCCTAATAAGCCAAGTTTTCCTAAATTAATATATTTCCTCTAAATTTTTTCTTATGAAATGATAAAGCTACCCATTTCATTATGTATGAGGTCAATTTTTTTTTATTGGAGTTAAAATTAACGTAGATATATGACTGAACCTAACCAACTCTACCTTACCTAACCTGACCTATCTTCATAGGTTAGGCTCGGTTAGGCAGCCGAAAAAGTTAGGTTAGGTTAGGTTAGGTAGGTTAGGTAGTCGAAAAACAATTAATTCATGAAAACTTGGCTTATTAGGCAAATCGGGCCTTGCATAGTAGGCTGAGAAGTGCGTTCTGGCTACTAGGTACGACATATATATATATATATATATATATATATATATATATATATATATATATATATATATATATATATATATATATATATATGTATATATATATATGTCGTACCTAAGAGCCAGAACTCACTTCTCAGCCTACTATTCAAGGCCCGATTTGCCTAATAAGCCAAGTTTTCCTGAATTAATATATTTACTATAATTTTTTTCTTATGAAATGATAAAGCAACCCTTTTCTCTATGTATGAGGTCAATTTTTTTTTATTGGAGTTAAAATTAACGTAGATATATGACCGAACCTAACCAACCCTACCTAACCTAACCTAACCTATATTTATAGGTAAGGTTAGGTTAGGTAGCCAAAAAAAGCTAGGTTAGGTTAGGTTAGGTAGGTTAGGTAGACGAAAAAACATTAATTCATGAAAACTTGGCTTATTAGGCAAATCGGGCCTTGAATAGTAGGCTGAGAAGTGCGTTCTGGCTATTAGGTACGACATATATATATATATATATATATATATATATATATATATATATATATATATATATATATATATATATATATATATATATATATATATGTCGTACCTAGTAGCCAGAACTCACTTCTCAGCCTACTATGCAAGGCCCGATTTGCCTAATAAGCCAAGTTTTCATGAATTAATTGTTTTTCGACTACCTAACCTACCTAACCTAACCTAACCTAACTTTTTCGGCTACCTAACGTAACCTAACCTATAAAGATAGGTTAGGTTAGGTTAGGTAGGGTTGGTTAGGTTCCGTCATATATCTACGTTAATTTTAACTCCAATAAAACAAAATTGACCTCATACATAATGAAATAGGTAGCTTTATCATTTCATAAGAAAAAAATTAGAGAAAATATATTAATTCTGGAAAACTTGGCTTATTAGGCAAATTGGGCCTTGCATAGTAGGCTGAGAAGTGCGTTCTGGCTACTAGGTACGACATATATATATATATATATATATATATATATATATATATATATATATATATTTTTTGTGTGCCTTGAATTGTGCCAAGATAAGTCACTTATTACCGTATACTAGTTGTAATTCATTAAATAGCTCATAGCAGTTTTATATTAATATAATTCTTATTTACTCATTAAAAGGTCTACCCACTTCTTATGCCTCTCACTCTCCCTCTAGTCATCCAACTCTTACATTTTTCCACACTTTATTATTATTTCCATAGAACTTTTTCTTGTAAAAACCAGCACATCAAACATACCCTACGTAACAAAAAAGATTTCACTACTATATTAATTTGTCCTTCATTTATTCTTCCCCATCCCCTCCAATAATCCAAACTAGTCTGTTCTATATATATATATATATATATATATATATATATATATATATATATATATATATATATATATATATATATATATATATATATATATATATATATATATATATATAAAAGCAATTCTGAAGTTAGAAAGCGTAGCATATATATATATATATATATATATATATATATATATATATATATATATATATATATATATATATATATATATAAAAGCAATTCTGAAGTTAGAAAGCGTAGCATATATATATATATATATATATATATATATATATATATATATATATATATATATATATATATATATATATATATAAATCACGGTGTGTGTGTGTGTGTGTGTGTAATTACCTAAGTGTAGTTACAGGATGAGAGCTACGCTCGTGGTGTCTCGTCTTCCCAGCACTCTTTGTCATATAACGCTTTGAAACTACTGACGGTCTTGACCTCCACCACCTTCTCACCTAACTTGTTCCAACCGTCTACCACTCTATTTGCGAAAGTGAATTTTCTCAAATTTCTTCTGCATCTGTGTTTAGCTTGTTTAAATCTATGACCTCTTGTTCTTAAAGTTCCAGGTCTCAGGGAATCTTCCCTGTCGATTTTATCAATTCCTGTTACTATTTTGTACGTAGTGATAATATCAACTCTTTTTCTTCTGTCTTCTAGTTTTGGCATATTTAATGCCTCTAACCTCTCCTCGTAGCTCTTGCCCTTCAGTTCTGGGAGCCACTTAGTAGCGTGTCTTTGCACCTTTTCCAGTTTGTTGATGTGCTTCTTAAGATATGGACACCACACAACAGCTGCATATTCTAGCTTTGGCATAACAAAAGTCATGAACAGTTTCTTTAGTATATCGCCATCCATGTATTTAAAAGCAATTCTGAAGTTAGAAAGCCTAGCATAGGCTCCTCGCACAATATTCTTTATGTGGTTCTCAGGTGATAGTTTTCTATCTAGAACCACCCCTAGATCTCTTTCTTTATCAGAATTCTTTAAAGATTTCTCACATAATGTATAGGTTGTGTGGGGTCTATGTTCTATTCCACGTTCCATAACATGGCATTTATTAACATTAAATTCCATTTGCCAAGTGGTGCTCCATATATTTTGTCCAGGTCTTCTTGAAGAGCATGACAATCATCTAAATTTCTTATCCTTCCTATTATCTTAGCATCAGCAAACATGTTCATATAATTCTGTATACCAACTGGTAGATCATTTATGTAGGCAATAAACATCACTGGTGCAAGAACTGAACCCTGTAGTACTCCACTTGTGACATTTCTCCAGTCCGATACATTGCCTCTGATTACTGCCCTCATTTTTCTATCAGTCAGAAAATTTTTCATCCATGTTAGAAGCTTACCTGTCACCCCTCCAATATTTTCCAGTTTCCAGAACAACCTCTTATGTGGAACTCTGTCGAAAGCCTTTTTTAGGTCCAGATAGATGCATTCAACCTAACCATCTCTTTCCTGTAATATCTCTGTGGCTCGATCATAGAAACTGAGTAAATTCGATACACAGGATCTTCCAGATCGAAAACCATACTGTCTGTCTGAAATTATATAATTTCTCTCCAGGTGTTCTACCCATTTATTTTTAATTATTTTTTCCAATATTTTGACTATTACACTTGTCAATGATACAGGTCTATAATTAAGGGGGTCTTCCCTGCTTCCACTTTTGTAGATTGGGACTATGTTAGCCTTTTTCCACACATCAGCTACAACTCCTGTAAACAGGGATGCCTAAAATATCAGTTGAAGTGGAATGATGAGCTCAGGTGCACATTCTCTCAGAACCCATGGTGAAACTCCATCTGAACCAACTGCTTTGTTCTTACTTAGCTCCTTGAGCATTTTTTCCACTTCGTCTCTAGTCACCTCTATGTGTTCTATGTTCTTCTCTGGAATTCTTATTGTGTCTGGTTCCCTGAAGATTTCATTTTGTACAAACACACTTTGGAACTTTCCGTTTAATGTTTCACACATTTCCTTTTCATTTTCCGTGAATCTATTTCCCATTTTCAACCTTTGAATATTATCCTTTACCTGTGTGTGTGTGTGTGTGTGTGTGTGTGTGTGTGTGTGTGTGTGTGTGTGTGTGTGTGTGTGTGTGTGTGTGTGTGTGTGTGTGTGTGTGTGTGTGTGTACTCACCTATTTGTACTCACCTATTTGTGCTTGCGGGGGTTGAGCTTTGGCTCTTTGGTCCCGCCTCTCAACTGTCAATCAACTGGTGTACAGATTCCTGAGCCTACTGGGCTCTATCATATAATAATAATATAATAATAATAATAATAATAATAATAATAATAATAATAATAATTTTTATTTAGGCAAAGGTACATACATAAAGAGATTTTACAAAGTTTGTTGGCTTTATAGATAAGAGCTAGTACATACAATGCCTAAAGCCACTATTACGCAAAGCGTTTCGGGCAGACCTTTAAATATCTACATTTAAAACTGTGTATGGAGTCAGCTTCCACCACATCACTGCCTAATGCATTCCATCCGTTAACTACTCTGACACTGAAAAAGTTCCTTCTAACGTCTCTGTGGCTCATGTGGGTACTCAGTTTCAACCTGTGTCCCCTTGTTCGCGTCCCACCAGTGTTGAATAGTTTATCCTTGTTTACCCCGTCGATTCCTCTGAGGATTTTGTAGGTTGTGATCATGTCTCCCCTTGTCTCATGTCTTGTGATCATGTCTCTCCCCTGTGTGTGTGTGTGTGTGTGTGTGTGTGTGTGTGTGTGTGTGTATGTATGTTTACTAGTTGTGTTTTTGCGGGAGTTGAGCTTTGCTCTTTCGGCCCGCCTCTCAACTGTCAATCAACTGTTTACTAACTAACTACTAACTTACTAACTACTTTTTTTTTTTTTCCCCACACCACACACACACACACACACCAGGAAGCAGCCCGTGACAGCTGACTAACTCCCAGGTACCTATTTACTGCTAGGTAACAGGGGCACTTAGGGTGAAAGAAAATTTGCCCATTTGTTTCTGCCTCGTGCGGGCGTTTCTGCCTCAGCTCGTACACCTGAGCTCATCACACATCATGTGTGTGTGTGTGTGTGTGTGTGTGTGTGTGTGTGTGTGTGTGTGTGTGTGTGTGTGTGTGTGTGTGTGTGTGTGTCTGTACGTACAAAAGAATGGGGGTGGTAGGAGAAGATAATATTAGTGTTCAGTGAGAAACCACAAGGTCTTCTCTGAATACTTTTTATTTTCTTCTCCGAGGCT